AAAGTGGGCACTAACAAATGTGATTGAAAGTTAATACCTTCCCGCCATGCAGCAACCACTTAAGTTCATTTAAGTGCTGTCCTCTTGGCAGGAGGGTCACACAGACAGTGGCATGGACTTCTCACCAGAGGAGATGAAGGGTCTGAATCAACATCTACCAACCACACCCAACTTAAGGTGGGGACTAAGCCTTTGCATGCTTTCTTCGAGTGGTTTATTTCATATTGTTTTTTTTTACCCTGTGAATCTGTTTTAAATGTGTCCTCATCTTGCTTTGACTCTTTAGCCAACTGTTGCGGTGCAAGAGTAAAGAGTCTCTGGGTTCGGAGTCATCCAATCAGACGAGTGGATATCAGTCAGGGTACCACTCTGACGACGCAGACACCCCAATATATGCCAACGAGGAAATCATCATGAAGCACAAAATGCTGAAGAAGCCTCCTCTGCCCAAGACGCCGGATAAATTCAACATGGAGATCCGCTACAGCACGCCACCAGTCTGACCCCATTTTTTCCCCGCAGTCTTTTCACTGTACAGTATTCATTTAATCTCTGCGGGTATTTCACACAAGGAACGATACAAGTAATAGAACTTTACGTGTTCACTGTGGAGCTGAGATATTTTCACAAGCAATACTATAATTATTCAGCAGAGAAAAATGAAGGTTGTATGATAAGTTTGTAAGTGCTCTCTTTGGACAGCCGGAGAAATGCTATCGTGTTTACTCAGCGAGTAAAAAAAAAAATGTCTAAGGTGCCCAAATGTGAAGGAATGCCTACTTCCTGAGGCACAATCCGCCCACTTCCTTTACTACAGGAAATGGGATCTGGAATTTTTAGATAATTAAACCAGCAAATATTTTCTTTCAGTCTTTTATCCTTTTTTATTGGTGGCACATTGAATGGCTGGTAAGGAGGCAGTTCTCTGATATCGATATTTTTAGAGTATTATTTGTACAGTTTCTTTATTCATATTACTTGCATTATTTTATTGAAAAAACATTAGTAAAATGGCATTAAATGTAAGTAGTTTCATAAAATAAAAATAATCATCGATGAAAGCTCTTCTCGTGTGTTGTTATTTGTTTCCTTTAAATCACTTATCACTTATTGTTCATCCCAGTATGATAATTCGTGAGTGTGTTTGTCTGTTTCTTTGTGTCATACATGTCATTTCCTTTCTGCGTCAAAGCAAACAATGTTTTCCCAGCCTTGGTCATTTATTGTTCATGTGTGTGGGTGTCCTATTGGAACAATGCCCTTCTGCCTTGGTTATTTTCTTTGGTGTATTCAGGTCTCGGTGCCCATAATAACAACCAAGGTCACTGTGGCCACAAACACATTTAAAGTGCATATTATTAAAGCAGGTTTGCAGGCTAATGGCAACGGTTGTATGCCACACTTTATTCTGAATCTTATCATCTTCCTGGGTTGCTATATGTATTTTTAAATAGCTAATGTTTTTAAGCCTTGTTGCTGCAGTCACTGAGGTGGGGTTTAAAAGCTGAGTGGGTGATGAATGAATGGGATGCATGACAACAAAACATATTTTGTCTACAATCAAGGACAACAAGCCCAGCTAATTATAGCATAGACTGGAGGAA